TGACAGCTGTCAGTCAAGCATTCCGCCAGATATACCAAACAAAGAAAGGGGCCGGGAAAAAGTCGACTTTTTTCGACTTTGAAGAAAGAGGCAAAAAGCTGAAAAAACTCGAGAAATTTCTTTTTCCAGCTTTTTTGCGATTAGTGAGATACAGATATTACTCAAGAATGTTGCTTCAATTTATATCGAAGACAAATCCTAAAAATAGCCGGCTTTTCATGAGAAAAAAGGCACCTTTCTCAGGTTTTCATAATGGCGGGTGAAAATTAAAAAAAGGGTATCTTTTTTTTAGTTTTGAGTGTGAAATACAAAGAAACACCTTGATTTTTAGGCATATTTCATTTTCGTCATACATGTTTTTTGCAAAAAGTAGAATTGCCAGATCTGACCACTGATTGTTTGATTCACTCACACGCAGTCATGTCATGCTTCAATTTGTCACATCATGTCCGTACTAGTTCAACATTATTTCCCACTATATCATACTGTTTGCAGTCAAATACATATCACAACCAATTTCGTCTGCAAATAAAGGTAGCACAACCTTTACAAAATTTTAGCAAACGCTAACTAGACTCAACAATGTATAAATACGGCTTTATGCAAATTCCTGCACAGTGTTCGGCACGAGGAACAATTTTCTAAAGCGGCTCTTCCCCTTCTAGTATATTTTTCCCGCCACTGGCCTTAAAGCGTAATCAGTGAAAAGGATTCTACTAAGTGGTATGAGATTTAAAAAAAACCAGCTTATTAAGTCAACTTACGTGATGGTAACATCAGCACTGTATGAAAGTCCGTAAGTTAATGCGCACGACGAAACAATAATATCTTGGGAGAAAGAAATGCACGCTGGAACGCAAGCAGGAATGAACATCCTTTATCAGATGTCAGCGTCTTCGTGGGCTGTCAGTTCTTCCCGTGCTTTCAGTTTGGAAAGAAGGTAAGTTATTGTTTTTTTCTCTAACAATGACATTCAATTTCCCTTAATTTTCAACAAATCCGGTTATTTTATATCAACCTGGAATTCCAGAAAATCACAAGTCATCTTTTTCAACGAGGAAGTGCTGCCACCGGTCACGGTGAAATTTCATTTACGGGGGTTTTCATTAACGGTGTGAGATTAACTACAAGCCAAGTGAAATGTATGTTTAATCAAGTTTATTCCTTAACAGAAATATGGTCAGATGTGGGTATGCTAAATTTGCTAACGGGGTGGCTTGTGGAGTAACTATTGCATCAAGCGAGTGCTTGACGTTAAAGCAGTGTTCCAGAAACATCAAACCCCATTTAAGAGGACTGAAAGTGGTGGATAAAAATCTAAAGGACGAGATACAGTTACTTTTGGGGCGAGCAGGTAAGGAATGAATATTTTATTTTGATATAGTTAAGTACATTACTGAAAAATTTTAACACAAAATTGGCACGAGTCGAGCTAGCCCAGGGCGAGCGTAATTTGGCGCGAACATTCTAGGCGGGAAAATCACACCTTTCCAGGAGTAGCTGTTGTCAAAAAGAAGTGATTTTACAAGTCTTACGGAATATTTAGAGGCTAACTTTTACGAGTTTCTCCTGGTAAACGCCACGTGACTTATGTTCTGATCTTTTTAAAATCGGCTTGAGAGCCTTGGGTGCTCTTTGGCTGCGCGGTACCTCCCATGCGACACTACGGTTTAGTATGGAGGGATTTGTTGCGATTCTTATTCCTGGTACACAATGTTTGTGCTAGGCACTACGCAACCTAAAGTATAGTAGTGCCCATACCTAGCCAGTAAGTTTGAGCGTAAGAAAAAAAGAATGATTGGGTGGAAGAAGGCGCAGGGGGGAGGGGTGGAGGGCAACCAAAAAAATCTTTCCGAGAGCACGCCAGTCAGATTAGCATTTCTCGTTCTAATTTGCAAAAGTAATCTGCAAAACCATTTTGAACAACCTAATCTTTACCGACGGATTCCGTGGGTTAATATATTTATATATTCTTTTTACCATATTTTGTAGGTTTGTTTTCCTCAGAGGTAGAAGCTGAGAAAATAACAATCTGTCCCCGGCATCGCGATGTGTATGGAACTCGGTGGAAGTGCAACAAAAGACGATGTGTTATTCCCAGCGTCATTAGCGGTCACACCGGTATACCACGTCCAAAAGGTGACCGAGGAGTCACCCTTTTACAAGCAGAATCGATATTCAGTGTTTTGGGGGTACTAGTACCAATCGGAGTACGTAAGTATCACTAAATATAAGTAAAATTCCCAGTCAACGATACTTTAAGTACGCTAAGTTACTACTTTAAGTTCGCTACGATCATTACGATCGTCAACGGCGCCCACCTTTATTCAGTGATTAAAGCTACATTTCTGTGATAAAACTGGCCTCTTCATTGAAATACTAGCTGGCTTTAGTAACTGTTCTAACATCTTGTTAAGTCATGATGTCGATCCAAGGGTCTGGTACTTTAGAGCTATCGTCCTCTCCTTGCCACGTTTCGCTGTCGTTCGATTCCTCTTCAGTCATCTACGTACGTTACTTCTACTCTTTTCTACCTTTCGCGGCCAACGAACACCATTTACATTAATTCTGAGGATTATAATATGAGCAGTTATTTCGTTATCGTTTATTACGTTTGGATCAAGTGTTTAATTCTGGCTTATATTTGCCTATTTTGATATTTGCTTTTTGTTTCTTTTTCTTAGCTATTTGTCGACAGTGCAGAGACAAAGTAAAAAAAATCTGTCAAGAAGAAAAACTAACAAATTGTCAAGAAGACAGTTCTACAAAAAAAGTCCAAGAGAGAACAAGCAGTTTACATGCAACGAAACAGTGCTCTGATTTAAGCATCGACGATTGCGATAGAAAGGAATGTGAAGGAATTTATAGTGATGCTAATGTTGACGACGGCGTCAGGGATCTTTCTAAATTCCATGCGGATGGCAATAGCATTGAGGGTAGCCTTTATAGTTGAAGTAAAGGCGATGACCTCTGCAAAGTTCAAGTGCCCGGTGGCGTTGGTGATAGTGGTAGTAACGATTGTTCGTGTAGTGATGATAATTTTGGTTGCAATAACGTTGGTGATGAGAGAGACGTTGGCGTTGATATTAATAATCAGGAAGATGACGGCTGTGATTATGTTTGCACTCTAGCCGCTCCAAATGACACTGTTAGTGGTCGGGATGATAATGGTGATAGTGGCGGAAATAGTGGTGATAATGATGTTTGTTGTGGAGACACTAGTGGGACCGATTGTGGATATAAAGGCAACTCCCTGGTAAGCTGCATTTGTTTTTCCGGTATCTGTTTCTATCCGAGCTACATCTTACCAATTTGAAAAGCAATTGACTTTAACGAATTGAAAATTGAGAAAATTTTAGCCTTTCTCCCCTGGTTACCAATGATTAAAATTGTTAAAACTAAAACAACTTATTAATTAAATTTGCAGGTTCTTTCACCCATAGAAGCTGAGAGAAGAAAGTTACAAAAAGTCGAAAAAGAAAGAGTAAGTCTAGTTGCAGATGCGATGAGATCGCATGTGGTAGAATTTAGAAAAACTCAGTTGAACGAATTTCTTAAAAGTTCTGGCTTAGCTCCAGTTCGTAAGGTAGACATGGGATCACCAACAGCAGCAGAAAGAACAAGAAGACGAAACATAGTTGAAGCATGCAAAGTTATGGTTGCTGTTTTGCGAGTACTGTCACCAAATTATCCCTATGAACTGTGGCTAAACGTAAAGGACTCTAACGACATGTGTGAAGCGTTAGAAGCACGTAAAGAGGTTGCCTTAAGAGAAGATGACGTGAAGTATCTGCGAGCGCTTTCTGAATCATACAATAACGCCACAAGTGCAAATGTTAAACTGCAAATTCTTTCTATAATGGCGGATATCACCACGTTGCAAGAAATACGCAATTACATTCCAGGCCTAACAAAATATATGTTTTGTCAAGCAAGACAACATATTTTAGTTTCTGGGCGAGGAGCTCCTGTAATTGCAAAACAAAGCCCGAGATGGAGAATCGATCTTAACCAGTTGGATCACTTCTTGGATTTTATTACCAGTCCCTACATCGTGCAGGATTTACCATTCGGTGAACGGTTTCTGAAATTGTCGACTGGAGAAGTAGTGCAGACACCGAATGTTATCAGAGTATCGGTCAGCGGACACATCATTGACCAATACGTACAGTATTGCAACGAAACAGAGGTGAAACCTCTAAGCAACAGCACATTACGATGCATTTTATCCTCCTGTCAGGCATCTACGCGAAAGTCCTTACAAGGTCTCGATTACTTTGTTTGTGAGGGTAGCAAGGCCTTTGATGACTTGGAACAACTCATTGGGAACCTTGTTGACAGTGGGTTTGACGCACGTACAGCGCAAAACCTACAGATGAAGTTAAAGGAGGGAAAGAATTACGTTAAAACGGATTTCAAAGTAAGAACCTATGGTAATATAATTATTAAATGTGTAATTCCAGAAAATGTCCATACCCTCCCCCCTCCCCCACGGAGGGCAACGGAAATTCGGAAGGGAGGGGGGTCCATAAGATAGCAACTTTTGAGGGGGTGGGGGTGGCAAGCTATTAGTTATTTTACTCTCAATCGGTGTTCCAAAGCAAATTTTTTTTTTTCATCGATGATCTTTTATTTGCAGTCGGCTGAGTGCTTTTTTACAGCTTGCACGATTTTATATAACAATTGTCGTCGGCTCGTGAATAGACGTCTGGTTATCTATGGGTTGCTTTGTTGCACAATATATTGCGGTATTCAATACAATGTGGTCATGTTGTATTAAGCTTTCTTCTAACACGTTTTTAACTGAAAAGAAGTAATATTAAAGTTCATTCGTTTAAGAGAAGGGGGTATGACAAACACCCCCTGAAATAGAGATTCCAGGGGGTGGGGGTCTAAAACAAAAGTGCCCTCCGTGAGGGTATGGATATTTTTCTACCTACACAATCTACCATGTCTTTCGGTGCTCCTGATTTGAAGAAGAGTGTACTTTAAAGCACACTGTTTATAATGACGAGTGGGAGTGATACAGTGGGGAAAAGGTTTTTTTTTTTATGGCGAATTATTTGCCAATCCGATCTGTCAAATGATGCTCTGTCAAAAATAACATTTTCGTCATTGTTTAGTGTCTCTGTCATATTTTATGTATATTCTCCAGAATAGCCTGGTCTCGCGTAATCTTGCTCTGAGACTATCTTGCTTCTACAATAGGTTCACGTTTCCAGCTCTTCGCGCGTGTCAGATCACTGTAGCCAATACGCACTAAGTGACAGTAAAGATCCTGCTTTTAGAGGTACCTGCACTCAAGATCATGACCTGATATGCAATCGCTGTGAAGACCTTAAAGCTGTTCTGTCCGACACCCAAAAGGCAATTCAGGAATCCTGCTTCGAGTGCCAGTATGATAAGGAGGATGCTCTTCACAGATTTCAAGAAGCAACTCGAGCAATTCAGCTCTGGAAGTCACACCAGCTGAGACTTGTTAATCAGGATAATGCCCGTACAGACGTTATTGAATGCCTCGATGACAGCAAAGTGCTCCTTGTACAAGACTGGGCTATGAAATTTCTCCCTCGTCAGTACCGAGAATCCCAAGGAGAATGGTTTGCGAAAAAAGGGATCTCCTGGCACATCACTGTAGCGATCAGAAAGAAAGAGAGTGAACTTGAAACACAGGCGTTCGTGCATGTAGTTGAGAAGTGTATCCAGGACAGCCCTTGT